TTGAAAGAAAATATTACGACGTTGGCAAATTATTTAGTATTTGATTAGATAATAATATTCTACCTTTTGATATTGTGGATGAAGTTGGTGCTACACTATTTGCCGTAGAACTGTTTGGGGTCAATAAAATACTAGATGCTGCTGGTACGCGTGTAGATGAACCAGTGGCAAGTGTGAGAGAGGTTTTGCCATTTTGTAACATGTTTGGTAAATTTCCGTTCGATGTTCCAACTCCGGATTTACTGTGTATTACTATATCAAGAAAAAAAAAATGAGTACGCATTAAATCAAGTATACATCAGTAGAGAAAAGCAAACTATAAAATCATTGTTGTATAAAATTTACCTGCAGTATTTGGAGTAGCAACTCTAATTTGATTTCCTGATGTTGTTAACACATTGACCAATTTCGCATCTCCATTTTTATCAGGCATATTAAGGTGCCTGTAGTTATTTGATATTACTTTAGAAAATCCTTTACCCGATGACACTATTGCTTTCATCTTTGAGACATTTTGCAGTTGAACGTTTGTCGGTACAATCTTAGGCACTTTAGTTGAGGAAACTGAGGATTTAGTACTATTTTTAACTGCAGAAGACATGCTTTGACTAGTTGATGCTGGAGCTAAACGTATGGGACCAATAGGTGCTAAACTTGCCAACGAACCAATGTTCAATGTTATACCACCATTGTCCGAATTCGAATTCTGCTGCAATAAAAATATTTTGTATTAAATTTAATTCTCTTGGAAGAATCATACAAGTAATAGTATATTGAATGTTTACCTGACCAGAAAGCCTAGACGTTATTAAATGTTCTACGAAGTGCGCTTTTTGATTATTAATTACACGAGGCTTGCGTTTCACAGTATGCGTATGGCTTGTATGCGCCACACTTGGCGTTACTAGGTTTGACTGTGCGTTGAACGACCCTACTTTAGAAACTGTCGCCGATGAAGTGTTCTGTCCAACGGATACTCCTGAAGAAATAGGTGTGTTTGGTCGGGACTTTTTTACAGTTGGAGAATTTGGTTCGCTTTCTACAGAACTGCTCGTCGAGTTCCTTCGTTTCCGCGGTTCTTTCCTGTTGTTCTTACTGTCAAAATTTGACAATAACGTTGATCTCAAAGGTAACGGTTGCGGTTGTAAAAGAATGCTGCCTACAAAATCCCCGATCTCGTCCAGAATACATCTGTCGACCATGCTCTGTGTGATACCCTCTGATATTTTCTTCGTGTTGGATATCCTTAAGTGATCGTCCGCAGTTCCAACTACCACCAAACTTGTTTCAACCAGCATCTTTTCTCTGAGATCTTCTAAATCGTCGGGCCTTACAAGCGTAGCATTTTGCCCGATGATAAACATAACTGGACAACGAATGTCCATCAATGCATCATCAGGTGTACCTCTCTTTCCCTCGACCGTAGAAAAGGGAAATCCGAGACAAATAACTGCAGTTACATGTTCCATTTGTGCTACCTATAAACATTCAAACGTGGTACTAAAGATTTTACGTTGCTTTCCAAAAATATAAAATATAACTACCTGACACGCAAGAGCGGCACCAGCATTAAAACCAACTAGTATTATTGGTCGACCGGGACAATCGCTTCTGATATCTTGTATTTTCGTTCTGGTGGCTTGAACTAATTGATCGATACACACCATCATAGTCATTCTATTAGCTGCTAAACCTACATGCGTATGTACAGTAACAACCATTCCTAAAGCTCCTAATTGTGACATCCACTTGTGTTGTCTTGACGACATGTTAGAGCCAACTCCAGAAGGTGTTATTATTAGTATTGGATTTCCCGGTAATTTTCTCTATAATAATAATAGTAATGATAATAGTAAAATAATTCATTCATAAGTACACATGTACATGTGTTTAATAATCTATGTAATAAAATTTAATTACAAGTCTATTGCCATTTAAACTTGGAGTAATCGGATCCCATGATCTCTTTAGAAGCGATCCAAGAGTTTCCCATGTTATAGAACCTGTTTTTGCAGTAATATTTGGTTGCACGGCAATCATCTTATCAATAAGTTGAGGAATTTTCAGTCTTAAAGTTTGCAATATATCCAAATAAATTCCGAGGTACTCTTGAGGAAGATGATCGAACAATAAACTATGCAACCATTGAGCAAGCCTCCAGTCCCAACCTGCAGAAGCTAATGTTTCTCGAAACCTCCTTGCAGCTGTATCAACTGATGTCCGTCGAAATATTGGTTCTATGGCATTAGCTGATTTGGCTAACCTTGCAAGCCTCTCTGAATTTAATATTTTAAGAACTTTGGTGAATATTCTGTTTTGAACAGGTGTCCATGAAATTTTATCAAGACTTTCTTCCCAATCTGCATTCTCATCTGGCCTAGCAAAATTTGCTAAGCTTTGAAGTTCATCCATTTGATGTTTACATCTTGTTAAATCAACTGGTGGTACCAATAATTCATTACAATCTTCTTCAATGTCAATTTCTTCGTCCTGAACAGGTTTCTCCCTAATATATTAAAAGCTATAATGTAATGTTTTGCTTAGCAATTACATTCAATACTTTTTAGATTGATTTTCTTACGTTGATGAATTTTTTTTAGGAAAAAATAATTTTTTTATTGGTTTCACGTATATATTTTCTGGTTTCCAATTCCATGGTCTGGCATAACAATGATCCCTTGTGATCATATCAACTTCCATTTCATAGCATCCAGCAAGCTGGTGTAAGTATGTTGTTAATCTGTTCGGATTATCATCGAATGTATCACTGATAGGACTTGGTACCCTCGAACCACTTAATGAAGTGGAAGGTATTGCTGACGGTGTTAACATCATTATTGTAAATTGTTAGTACAAAATATATCCACATGTAGTATGAACTCTTTTGTTCTGTGATATTGGATCCGTTTAATTCTCTTACTCCATGAATTTTATCTAATTCTTTAAATGCGAGTTGCTAGAAACAATGAAAATCTTATATAAGTAGAATTTATTGTAATAACATTTATATTTATCACCTTAATTTACAAATACGTTTGAGAATATGTAACTTAATAAAGTGCACAAATTAGAACCACTTG